TATATCAGAACAGACAATTCAGACTATAAAGAATTATCTTTGTAAGTTCTGTAATTACTTATAAGATGATTGATATGATCTTCTTCTATACACAGAGATTGCTATTAACAGTTGAGATATCATTTCAACAGATATAAGTCTGTTCTTTCTTATACATAAGTATTACATGAAAGTGTTGAATCTTCTAGAGATTACACAGTGCATACTGAACTTCTGCAGTTCAATTCAGATTGCTGATAATATAGTAATAAAGCTTCAAGATACCTGCAACTGAGCAGAGGCCTTTATAACAACTGTGAAACAAGATTAAGAAGATTAAATTAACATCTGATAAGATTCTGCAGAGCAGTATAAGATAGAAGATCTTGTGTAATTGAATCTCAAGAATATATGAATCATATATTCATCTTATACACTAGACTATCATCATATCAGGTATAAAGTGATAGAAGTTCTAGATAGTCATAACTACTGTCTTGACACATTATCAGAAATTCATAATGTATTTCACATAAGCTTGCTTCACTGCACTGTCATCAATCTGTTCTCTTCTCAGCTGACTTCTGACTGACAGCTGCCAGGCATCATAGAAGAAGATAATAAGCTTGAGTGAGAGATTGAAGATATTCTTGATGAGAGATTCTGCAGCTGTGACTGACAATATCTGGTGAAATGAGTCAGCTACAATCAACTGACCTGGACTCTGAGTTCTGTGTTATCTGAAACAGTGGCCCTTGACTGATGAAAACTGCTTCTGAAAAGAGAGGGCTAATGTGACAGGCTGCACCTGATCAATCATATAGACTATTTCATTACACTTCATAGATTCTTTCATTTCTGATCACTGATCTGCGGCTGCTATGAACGCGTGTAGTGTATGCTCCGATTCTCAGTCACTTCTGATTGCCAATTCACAGCTGCTATGAACGCGCGTAGTGTACACTCTGATTCTCAGCCATTTCTGATCACTGATCCTCAGTCACTATGAACGCGCGTATATTCTTCCACCCTGAAGCTCCACCACATACACCATCACATACACGTATAAATATTCATCTCAATCACTGATTCTCACACTTTCTCTTTCTTTCCTTCTCTAACATTTTTATCTTTGTTATATAAGACTTATCAATATTATACCAATCTATTCAGCGTAGGCCTCTTATATCAGATGATAAACATCAAAGAATAGACTGATACAGATTGATTATTCTGAAGATATTCATTAGAGTGAATATACTTATAATATTGAATTTAATAATTATGAAAAGTTTCTTGATGTCTATGAATATCATAACTTCATACATAGTAAAACTTATAATGATTTCTTCTAAGAACAGAAAAATCAGCATTAGAAAGAAAAGATGAAAAAGATAAAGACTTATAATCTCAACACTGTTAAGAAGAGAGATGATTCTCTGATATAAATGAATAATTCTCTCATCATGAATATTTAAAATAAATATAATAATCAGTATCTGTGACTGAGCTTTAAATAGTCATGTTATATACAGTCTTCATGTAATAAATCATTCTGAAAGTCAGTAAGAAGAGCAGAAGTGTACATGCTGAGAGATGTAGTTTATTAAGTCTATGTAACATCTTCTTGAAACAGAGAGAGCTGATAATGAAGACAGAGACAGTAAAATCAGAGATTGTGAGAACAGGGGTAGCAGGAGCAGAAGAACCAGACACAGAAACAGATATAGAAGATTGAGAGAAAGCAGCAGAGAAAGAAACAGAGAAGACAGAGAAGAATGTGAGAGACTCAGTTATATATAGCACAGACAATTTCTTCATTATTACATTCTTCAAGTTCTCAATCAATGATTCAATATTGAGTTCACTATCATCAGCAGATGCAGATCTGTCAATATATGAAGATTCTATATGAATAAAAACAAACATATCAGCATCTGTATTCACATAAAATCATGTCAGAAAACACAATCAGAAACCTACTGAGAAGAAGAAACAGTCAAGAGTGTATAAGAAGATAAAGAAGATGTGTTATCATTCATGATAATACATCATTCTGATAATTATTAGAAGATAAACAAGTCCTGATCACATTTCACAATGCATTACACTTACTGCTAACAAACTGTCTGATATGAGTACTACAATGACACTTGTTATGAGAACAGAGAGTCATTGCCAGAAATGTATACAATATGATAGAAGAACAGATGAAAAGAGTTGAATAGAAGAAGAAGTAGAAATCTTTGAATAAAATAGTGACATTCAATGATAATGATGATGAAGAAGATGATTAAAGAATGAAAAAAGTTAGTGAATGAGTGATGTAATATAGTGAAAGTTTCTTTGTAAGAGTGTATACAGAACACTAGCTGAATCAGAGATAGATTACATAATTGTCAAATGCTAGTGATGAGCTAATCTGCATGAAGCTAGAGCATATAATATGATCACATGAGTGTGACTGAATCTGGTGAAGAAGAATGTGATTTGAAAGAACATATGACTGTCAGATAATAACACGGCTGCTTCCGAACTACTAGTGTACATGTATGAGTGAAAAGAGGCTATAGCAGCCGCTAATTAAATTAGCGTACGAGATTCAATATATAAGAAGCCGGTGTACGCCTGTAATCGTACGCTGGCTTAAGCAACCTTTGAATCACATTACTATATAACACTGTAGCTGTTTCTGTACATTGCTGAAAGCTGTTAATATTTTCTTTAAGTCTCTTTATATTTGATAAGTTAGTAATATATTTCAATACACTTCTTCTTTCATTATTATCATTATCATTATCATTATCATTATTATTATCATTACTATCATCATCACTATTATTATTATCATTATTATTATCATCATCATCATCATCATTATTATTATTATATTATTTCTAGCCGTCTCTTCTACCTCTATCTCTTTTCAACACTTACTGAAATTAATTATATTATCTCTCTTTAAATATTCTGCAGTCCTGCAGACTATCAAGGCGCGTGAGCACTGTCACAGATTGAAGAAAGAGAAGAAGAAGACATTTAAGCAAGAGAAGACAGATTATAAAACATGTTATAATGTCTTGAAGAGACTCTGTAAGAAAGCAGAATAATTACAATTTTAAGTAACACTTCTGATAGATTTAGACTGAACTAAGTATAGAAATAATACAGATGATACTATCTGTGAGAGATTGAAGAAGAAGACAGTGAAGAGTTTTATACAGCAGTGATAAGATCAGAAGAAGTCTTAAGAATGATTTAAGACTAAGATGAAGAGAGAGAGAGAGAAGAAGAGTATTACTGTAAATAAGCAGTAATAGAAGAAGATTGAGAGAGTGTTAAAGTAGAAGATAAAGAAGTCAAAACTGATAAGTTTTTTATTTATTAAGAGATAAGGATTTTTAATAACACTTCTGTTCTCTAATTGATTAGCAGAAGCTGACAGAGAAGAAGAGAATTGAGATCTTATTCAGATCTTGAATACACTTCATGATTTAGAATATTGAAAAGATAGTTCTACTCTCTGAGCATGTCAATCTACTTATCACTGAGATGAAATCTGAGACAGCAGATCAGAAAATGTAGAATTTTGAGATACAGATTAATCTGACTGAGAAGAAGCAGCAGAAACTCTTTTCTGAGAAGACAGTAAAGAGAGATTTTGAGATAATTATCATCTCAGATGAGAAGAAGAAGAAGAAGAAGAAGAATAAGAAGTAAATTATAAAGAATAATAAGAAGAATAAGAAAGAGAAGAAAGATGATAAGTAGAAAAAGTTTTTTTCTTTTTATATTAGTTAGTTATAAATTTATAATTATTAATAATTGAAATTAATTTTGAGTTTTTAAAAATTATTGTACAAGTTGTAATCAAGTCAGAAATAATATATATATATATATATATATTTAACTATCATGATTCACAAATCACTATAATATATAAGTATCAACATTTTTTCAACATTGATATTTATAATATTAATATATTTTTAATAATATTATCTGATAATATAATTTAGTAACACTCTCTTTCACAATATTAATATATTTCAAGAAATATGACAGAGATTAATCAAGATTATTTATTTACTTTTATATATTAATGATATTCAATTTGAGTTAGTACTAAAATTATAACTAAGCTAAGAAACAAGATTATTTTCTTTTATATTAATTCTTCTTACACACATCAGTGATCAGTTATTGAAAATAAATTATTATCTTTCTTAAATTATTATCATATCTTCTGAATTCACTTCTTTCACTTCTTTTACTTCTATTGAAGATTCACAAACTCTTCAAGAAATCACTGTAAATTACAAAGTCTATGTTATTTATGTCAGGTCACGTGATCTGGCTTACTAATCCTTCCACCATATAACTTTCCACAAGCTAGCAACCTTTCAATCACACAAGCTTTACACCTTTCACAGGTTATGAGACCCGTTTTGCGCAAAAATCACTGCCAATTCAGAATTCCTTGTCAATATAATCTATTTGAACTACTGCTTCATTCGATACGCTCATCAGGAGTTAAAATTATCTTATTCTATCAGTATTGATGTGTTTGAGATCTTGATGATCAATAATACTACTGCTCACTTAAAAAAAAGAGGCTTGCAGAAAACACACCACATTTGCAAAAAAGCAAGAAAAAGAGAATGATATTGACAAGGATTCAATAAATGAATATCGAGAATTCAATAAATGAATATCAAGATGGCGGATTCAATACGATCTCGCTCACACACATGTTCGTGATCTTGCGTCCTTTTCACTGAATCAGTTGCAGTTGATGATGATGATGATTCTTCACACTCACGCTCTGCCAGTGGACATTCTTCTGGAGCCTTTGAAAGCTTCATTGATGAAAGCTCCATTGTCAAAACACTCTCTTGATTCGAAGCTGGTTTGAATACAGCTCCTGACACGGTCAGGCCGGCCCCCCGATCTACTTGACAGCTTGATGCTGGTTCTCTTGATGAGAATAATGGACACTCAGATGTCTACTGTTCGGGCGAGGCAATATCAGACCAACAGATGGAGCATCTCAAGATGATACTTGAGATGGACAAGGGGAAGCAAAGAGTTCTAGAACTCGAACTACAACTGGAAAAACTCTGTCAACAGAGATTCTCATCCTCTACAGATCAATTACAAGATGTCAACAATCATTCTGTCACCACATCAACAGCCACATGGAATCCTAATCTCGGTGAAAGGTTGGAATTCAACCTTTATGAACTGGATAGCCGTGTTGGCAAGGCTATCTCCCAATTCAAGGAAGATGTCAAGAATACTGTGAGATCAAACAGTCTAACTGACACATTCAATTACATCACATGAAGCATCTTCATGAAATCAAAACTGGTTGATGCACAGTGTTGATATATGATAGAGAAATGACAGACTCAGAACCCTCTATAAAGAGATGATGAATGAGCATCATTCTGAGACATCAGAAACTGGTGACTCTACACATTCATCTCAAACTCCTTGGGTGCAGGTGTCAGACCACATTTCTCCAAATATGATGAAAATCAGATTGCTTATACCCTATGGAATGCAATTAAACAGGAATACTCTGTCCTCAAAACACAGTTACACTGTGAGACAGTTCTGGAATTTATGTCTCTTGATGACATACAGGTCATCAATCTACACACATTCTTTGATAAGTTTCAGTCCGCCATCACAAAATTGAAGATGTTGAATGCTTCCCTCTCAGATGCATGGATATTTGATACCTTCTACTCAGTTCTACTCAACAATTGGAGGAATTACATTCAGAAGAAGATAGAGGAGATACAGGATTTCAAATCCACAGCTGTGGTATTGAATGTTGATCTTCTCATGGAGGAAATCCATTCGCGGCTTGATTCTTCAAAAGATAAAAAGAACCTGCAGAATATAGATTCTGCGGCCAACTCAGCTACAACAGCTACATCAGCTATGACAGCTACAACAGCTACGACAGCTACAACGGCCACAATGACTACCAATGACAATACATCGAATTCGGCCCGTGGAGGCCGTACTGGACGTGGTCGTGATAGTACTCAAGAGGGCTTCTGAAATCATCAGGGATCAGAAAATCCCTCTACATGTTCTGAATGTGAGAGATCTCACTTTAACATCTGTTGATTGATCAATTCAGACAGTGCTTCAGATAATTGAAGAATCTACAACACTGCAAGGATAAAGAAATTCAAAGAAAAGAAGGAAAAGAATAGTGAGAGTGAAACTCAACTATTCATTACAGATGGATCAGAGACCTATCAGATGACAAACCTCACAGAGGTTATCAATGTGTCAGCCTGTTACAAGGATTTCTTCAACAGGTGTTTATACATATCAAAGAACATTATCTTTCAGAAGAACCTTCATCTTGCTGATTCATTGATACTGACTACTTCACACAACCTGAAGGTTCTACTCAATGCAGTCTGTAAGGCGGCTGCAGTGATTTCTTCAGTGATACCAGGCCTACTCACTGCAGCCTGTCAAGAGACTGCAGTGATTCCTGATTCATCAATTGATAATCTATTCATTGATGAGAAAATTTGATCTGAGTGTCCATTATTTCTCATACTCACTAATAATTGATGAATTGACTATGATATCTCTGTGAGAATATCTACTCTTTTAGTGCAGAATACACTGAACTCCTCAGAACCCACAGTTGAATCTGATGACTCTTTGACATCTACAAGAGATATCACTATAGTGAAGGAATCAACAGTGAGGAAATCTTCAATAAGAGATAGTCTTGAAGACCTACTCATCAATTCTGAGATTGCTGCACTTCTGATTCTGAAAAACCTCACACATGTCAAAGCTTTCATGGAATGAAAGTATTATTACAAGGCCTGTGTTAAAGAGGTCAATCATTTGAAATATACACATTGAAAAGAGAATATAAAGAAGATAGAGGAATAGAGGAATAAAAAATAATGTATATCATGACTGGTTTTTCATTACTTCACATTTTCCAGTCATTTTTTGTATCTGTACTTGATTTGAAGGCGAATTTTGTATATAGCATCATGTATAGTTACTCTGGTGAGTGAGGGTGTCAGGTCACATGATCTGGCTTACTAATCCTTTCACTGTATAACTCTTCACAAGCTAGCAACCTTTCAATCACACAAGCTTTACACCTTTTACAATTTACAATTCAATACAGAATGCTCTCTTTTAATTATGATAAATAATCACTTCATTCTTCATATCTGATTTCAGGTCATGAAATTTATAGAAAACTCAACATAAATATTGAGATGAACTATGAAATAATTATCAACAGATTGTATTACAGATTACTGAAGAGTCATCTCTCTGCTGTAATCACTGTAACTTTATTCAGAAACATTCATTATAAACTGATTATAACTCTGAAGAAATTTTTCAACATCTGAAGTTATCAGAATACAGATAATAAAAGAAAAATAATCAGAAAATTACTACTAAGCTGATAAGTTACTCTATCAGATAACAATTTTTAATAATACTAACTTTCTAATTTGAAGAAAATCATGTAAAAACAATCTTATATTAGTACTCTGATTTCACAACTCTCATCTGATAACTTTCATGAATAATTACTTTATATATGTATATCTCTGAATCTTTCTCTTCAATCAATTGAAAACTCTGAATTCTGAACACTTCTTTAAATACTTAATTTAAATCTTCATATTTCACATCAATTCTGTCTTCAGTTCAATCTCAAGATACACTATAAAGTCAATATATAATATCTAGAATCAGAGTTGAAGAATCATTGAAGAGTGTCTCTTACAGTGAATGTATGAACTAGTATAAATAATCTTATATTTATAAGAGTTACATGTTATTACATTGATAAGAACTGAACTTATTAAGAGACATTAATTGAATTTGAATCATTAATCAGTAGTTATACTGAGAATTATATAGCAGAGATATTAATGACTGTGATTAAAAATGACTATTGAGATATTAGTCTCAGTCTTCTTACAATTACAACTGACAATGCTGTAAATAACTACACTATAATAAAGAGCTTAAAGCAAAAATTGACTTTACATTTTTAAAATGATAAACAAGATCATATCTTCTGCATTACTCATGTGGTTCAACTTATAATGCAAACACTGATAAAGAATCTTAATATCAAGATGAAGAATAATAAGATGACTAGTTCTTGAGATGAGAATGAGATGAAAGTGATTACTCAAGTAACTTTTACATTCACTTTGCAAAAGATAATATTTTTTAATAACACTTTTTAATATTGCTTTTTAATAATGCTTTTTAGTAACACTACTGTTAATTTTAAATAGATTGACTAATAATTTAAATATCATAGATTTAAAACATTGCTAATACAATTTGTATCTCTTCTAAACAATAATAACAATTTCATGATATTCAATAAATAAATAAATCAGTCACATCACTGAATATGATACAGAATGTTAGAATATAATAAAGTTCAATATATAAGATGACTGTTCAGACTCTTCAATTGTATCAGATAATTGATCATTGAGTGCAACACTCTGATCAGAAAAAGATTCAGATATTGAAACTTTCTGATATGAAGTGAACTCAGTTGAAATATGTGATTGATTTACTGTTTCAGTTTTATAATATAATAAAGACAGTCTTAATCACTTGTACATCAATGCTGCAGTCAGTCTGATAAGTGTATAACAGTTTATTTACTTATCTTGAGAAGCAGTTGAATCACTTAAAAAGAAATTCAGTCTGAGATGATGCTATAGCACAGGCTATTATTACTATAAGAAATAAACTAGTATATTACTACAGTAAAATAGAACAATCTTTTACAGAGTACTATACTATAGTAGCTCTACTAGATTTCTCTTATTAAGTTAATATCTACACTTCTCAAGATTGAACAGAGAAGAAATAAGACTCATATATTAAATTAGTCTGAGACTACTACAATATCAACTATCAGAGATTTGAACAAGCAGATGTTTAAGATATAGAGACAATAAAATACAATTCTCTAGTAAGTAACAATCTTTGATAACACTTCATATTATATAGAACTATAATACTAACTTTGAAACAGAACTTGCATATATTGATTGCAGCTGAAAATCAGGCAAAACTATATACTTATAAAACTGAATTTAACTGCTATCTTTAAGATAATCTGATGAATTTACACATCAAATCAATTCTAGAGTTATGAAAAATTGTTGAGAGTATATATTCAACTATTACACTGATAACATCTGATATTCTAATAATTTCATTGACAGAGATGAGAATGAAGTGAAAGTTCAACTCAAGTTGAGATATTTATCACTATCACTGAGAACAATTACAAGGAGAAATAATCAAGAAACTCATGATTGTAAAACATGAAATTATCAGATAGTTTAATACCTCTGATCACAGTATATCAGAGAAGTGTAGTTTTCATGAGAAAGTGAAGAATAAACTTGTATAAGAATGTATTTAGTTGTTTCATGAGTGTTATTAATAATCATTATCAAATTCTGATTATATAAGCAATCACTGAATGAACTGAATGAAACTGATTTTAATTTTCAGTCTCAGTCTCATTCTGATTTTGAAAGAATGATTATCTTTCACAGTTTATTCTGAAAAATTACTCTCATTTCACTGTTCTTGAATTAAATCTGGTCATTTTTCACATCATTTCTCTCAGAAATGATTCATTTTCAGATTTTTTTGAGGCTTGATTCTGATGAGACTCACATCAAGAAATGTATGAAATCAGATTAAATGAGATTAAATGTGAAATTCATGATTTCAGCAGTCAGTCTAATCATGATTTATAAATTACTATAATGTATAAGTATCAACATTTTTGCAACATTGATATTCACAATATTAATATATTTTTAATAATATTATCTGATAATACAATTTAATAATACTCTCTTTCACAATATTAATTTATTTTAAGAAATATGACAGAGATTAATCAAGATTGTTTATTTACTTTTATACATCAATGATATTCAATCTGAGTTAGTACTAAAATTATAACTAAGCTAAGAAACAAGATTATTTTCTCTTATATTAATTCTTCTTACACACATCAGTGATCAGTTATTAAAAATAAATTATTATCTTTCTCAAATTATTATTATATCTTCTGAATTCACTTCTTTAACTTCTTTTACTTCTATTAAAAATTCACAAACTCTTCAAGAAATCACTGTGAATTACAAAGTCTATATTATTTACAATTCAACACAGAATGCTCTCTTTTAATTATGATAAATAATCACTTCATTCTTTATATCTGATTTCAGATCATGAAATTTATGAAAAACTCAACATAAACATTGAGATGAACTATGAAATAATTATCAACAGATTGCATTGCAGATTACTAAAGAGTCATCTCTCTACTATAATCACTGTAACTTCATTCAGAAATCTTCATTATAAACTGATTATAACTCTGAAGAAATTTTCTGATATCTGAAGTTATCAGAATGCAGATAATAAAAGAAAAATAATCAGAAAATTACTACTAAGCTGATAAGTTACTCTATAAGATAATGATTTTTAATAATACTAACTTTCTAATTTGAAGAAAATTATGTGAAAATAATTATGTATCAGTACTCTGATTTCATAACTCTTATCTGATAACTTCTGTGAATAATTACTTCACATGTATATATCTCTGAATCTTTCTCTTTAATTAATTGAAAACTCTGAATTCTGAATACTTCTTCAAATACTTAATTCAAATCTTCATATTTCACATTGATTCTGTCTTCAGTTCAATCTCAAGATACACTATAAAGTTAATATATAACATCTAGAATCAGAGTTGAAGAATTATCAAAGAGTGTCTCTCACAGTGAATATATAAACTAGTACAAACAATCTTACATTTATAGAAGTTATATGTTATTACATTGATAAGAACTGAACTTATTAAGAGACATTAATTGAATTTAAATTATTAATCAGTAGTTATACTGACAATTATATGACAGAGATATTAATAACTGTGATTAAAAATGACTATTAAAATATTAGTCTCAGTCTTCTTATAATTACAACTGATAATGCTGCAAATAACTATACTATGATGAAGAGCTTGAAGTAAAAATTGACTTTGTATTTCTGAAATGATAAACAAGGTCATATTCTCTGCATTACTTATATGATTTAACTTGTGATATAAACACTGATAAAGAATCTTAATATCAAGATGAAGAATAATGAGATGACTGATTCTTGAAATGAGAATGAGATGAAAGTGATTACTCAAGTAACTTTTATATTCATTTTATAAAAGATAATGTTTTTTGATAATACTTTTTAATATTGTTTTTTAGTAATGCTTTTTGATAATGCTACTGTTAATTTTGAATAGATTGACTAATAATTTAAATATTACAGATTCAAAACATTGTTAATGTGATTTATATCTCTTTTAAATAACAACAATGATTTCATAATATTTAATAAATAAATAAATCAGTCATATCACTGAATATGATACAGAATGTTAGAACACAGTGAAGTTTAATATATAAGATAACTGTCTAAGCTCTTCAATTATATCAGATAATTGATCATTGAGTGTAACACTCTAATCAGAAAAAGATTCAGATATTGAAACTTTCTGATATGAAGTGAACTCAGTTGAAATATGTAATTGATTTACTGTTTCAGTTTTATAAAATAATAAAGACAGTCTCAATCACTTATACACCAATACTGCAGTCAGTCTGATAAGTGTATAACAGTTTATTTACTTATCTTGAGAAGCAGTTGAATCACTTAAAAAGAAATTCAGTCTGAAATAATGCTATAGCACAGACTATTATTACTATAAG